TTTTAACTAAAATATACAATTATTCTTAGAATAGCCACAGTGCCAGAGGACTGGAGGATAGCACATGTCACGCCAATCTTTAAAAAGGGAAGGAGGGTGGACCCGGGAAATTACATGCTGGTTAGCCTAACATCTGTTCAGGGAAAATGGTGGAAAGCCTCATCCAAGATAAAATCTCAAAACACATGGAAGAACAAGCCTTGCTGAGGGAAAGTCTTGCCTCACAAACATTTTGGAATTCTTTGAAAAGGTCAACAGGCATGTGGATGAGGGCAAGTAAATATTGTTTATCTGGATTTTCAGAAGGCATCTGACATGGTCCCTCAGCAAAGGCTGCTGAGAAAACTCCACAGTCAGTGGACAATAGGGCAGGTCCTCTTGTGGACTGAGAATTGGTAGGAACCATGAAACAGAGAGTAATTGTCAATGGGCAATTTTCACAATGGAGAGAGGTGATAAGCAGTGTGCCCCAGGGATCTGTCCTGGGACCTGTGCTTTTCAACCTGTTCATAAATGACCTGAAGACAAGGATAAGCAGTGAGGTGACCAAGTTTGCAGATGACATGGAACTTTTCTCGGTGGTGAAGACCAGAAGGGATTGTGAAGAGCTCCAGAATGATCTCTCCAAAGTGAGATAATGGGCAGCAAAATGGCAAATGCATTTCAGTATAATTAAATGTAAAGTAATACACATTCGGGCAAAAAATATCAAAACTTTATAGAGAAGAAAACGGCCCATGCCTTGCCTCTGCAAACAGGCTGCCTCCAATCAGGAGGCTTAGCTTCCTACAGTCGGGAGACTTAGCTTCCTCCAATCACAAGCCTTATGGAACTGATGTCAGCTAATGGTAACCAAACCAATTGGAACACACCTTGTTGGAGGTGGAGCATGTAAGCACTGCTTAGAAGGGTTCTGACCCCAGAGGCTGAATAAAATTAAAGTGTATGTAAATGTTACCTAATTTCTAAATAAAAATATGTTGTTTTATGTTTAGAATACTGATTTCTTAATTTTGGGTTAGCAAAGTGGGAGGGGTATCCATGGGTTGTCTTATACACAGAAAAATACAGTAGTTGTGTTGGCTACTCCTCAAAATTTGTTCAGCAACCTTATCCTTTTGCTTCTCTAAAAAAAGATCTCTGAGACAGTAGGAGCTAGAAATACAAAAGTTTGAACAGATACTACAGATCTTAAATAACTGGACTGATTAAATTATTTGCCTCAAATACTCATTTGGGGCCACTGCTTTTTTAAATAACTGATCATAGACATTTGCTGAACTCTTCCATTAAGCTGGTATAAACTGAATGAGTAACTAGAATAGAGAAGAGAACGAGAATGAGGCCTGTGCAAAAGTAAGAATTTGAAGGGGAAGATTGGAGAGGGCCTGGAATGAGGATGGAAGTCATGGGCTCTTTAATCTGTGCAAAGTCAAGTCAGTTCGCTTTTAAAAAATAAATTTGGCCATATGTAAGCTATGTTTCATGCATCTGCTGTATGAAACACACATACTGATAGCAGCGTGCCTATAGTAATCATATATGTTAGGTAAATTATGGGGCTTTTGAAATCAGATTTCTTGAGTTTGAATAAAACCATAGAAGGTAGGATCTTGTTTGTTTGCCGGATTCAGTAATTATTTGAACATCTTATAGAATAGTGATTCTTAAACTTTGATTTTTCAGATATTTTGGATCAATTTCCAGAATCACTGACAATTAGCAATGATAGCTGATACTTCTGGGAGTTGAAGTCTGAAACATCTGTGAGCCCCATAGCTGTAGAAAATAATAGGACCTGGTTTGAAATATGGAGGGAAGGGGGGTTGATCAGGTTACCCCTGAGGAGAAAGCAAAAATACCAGATCATTGCAAGCTTTACTATTTGTACCTCACCTGATTGAGTAAACTACTGCCAAGCTGGTTGGGTTTCTTCCTGGTTATCCAAAGAGACAAAATTCTGTTTTTAGCTTTTAATACTGTGTTTTTAATTTTGTAAACCACTTTGGATTCCTTTTATTAATAAATAAATGAATAAATTCCACTTACGATCGTAAAGGGAAAAAGAAAGAAGAGTTTCTGGGATTATCCAGCCTTTTCTTATGTCTACCAAATGTAGGATAAAATCTCAGCCTTTCAAGGCTGAGATCTTATCCTGCATTTGATATACAGGAGGTTTTCCCGTTAGGTGAGAAGATTCAAGACACTGTGCCTGTATGACTCAACTACATGACATCAAAGACCACTACTTCTTACATACTCATTCAAAATAATGGATTGGACAAAAAGAACAGTCTGCTTTATAATGTAAGGTTAAGTAAGATAACAAAGAATTGCTTGTGTATCTGTTCTTTACTACCAAATCTTCAGTTTTAGCACAACATCCATCAATGTGCCATTAAAAAAAAATTCTGTTAGCTTCAGTTTAAGACTCAAAGTGTGTCTAATCTTTGAGATGGCTTCTGCCCTTCTGCCCCTTTCCCTTTCTTTTCCACTTTAGTTTAAAGTGGGCTTAAAGCAGAGCAAGTTAGTTAAATTGTATAATGAAAGTGCTGAGATAAGTCTTAAGACTTCTAGGATTTGCAATGGAATTTTTCAGCTCAGTGATATTTAATTACTTTATAGTAGCTTTTTTCATTTTTCATTTTATTAAAAACAGATCTTCCCTCAACTTGGGAACTCTTGTGAGCTGCAAATGGCCTTCAAGGCCTTTGTTTGGCAATCTTATTGTGCAGAAAGTTATGGGGCCTTGAGAGGGAGTTCCTTGCAGTTCCCCTGGCTTGTGTATTTTCTCACTCTTAGCACCCATCACCATTAGAATTTGGTTTTCCTGCTCAGTTCCTTATGTTCACCATAAACACCAAAATAATTAACTGAAATATAAGAAGAAGAATCTACTGTGGAGGTAATGGTCAGTCATGGCTTCTCATCCATATTTGTTCCTGTGTCTCCCTTTAGTATGTTACAGTAAGGATGTGATCAAGAAAGAAGGGATGATAATGGAGCTTTTTTATTTTCTATAACCCGTCAAAAGGTTCTTCATGCAGCTCATCTCACATCAGTTTGAATGGGTGACTTGAGCTGATGAATGATGTCAGCAAACTCCGATTCACACTCACTTTGATATCTACAGTAAAGAAATCTTCAGAAGTTGTAAATGATTTTAAATTATGGTGTTGCAAGCCAATGGCTTCTTATTAAACATTGTTGTCAAAAAGTGTGGGAGAGATGCATAGCTTTATTCCAAAATGTATAATAGGTGGTTGTTCAATCTGGCTATGGTGACACATCCTGTCTAGATTGTTGTAATGTGCTCTAAATGGGGCTGCCTTTGGAAAGTGTCTGGAAACTTCAATAGGTCCAAATCACTGCAAGATTGTTAACTGAGCTTGGTTAGAGGGATCACATAAGCCCAATGTTGCAGCAGCTCCACTGGTTTTAACCTATAAAACCCTAAACAGCTTGAGTTTAAACTATCTCAAGGACATCTCCTTTTATGAGCCTGTCTGGGTGTTAAGATCATCATCAGAGGTGTTTTTCTTGGTCAATTCCATCACTTTCACAAGTATGTTTGGTGAGGATGTGGGAGAAGACCTTCCCTGTATCTGTACCCAGACTGTGGAACTCCCACCCACAGGAGGCCAGGCTGGCTCCATCTTAGCTGGCCTTCTGCGAGCAGATGAAGACCTTTCTCTTCAGACAGGTTTTCCCTTAATATCTGGTGGGTGCTCTGAGAGGAGTTTTTAAATGGAGTGTTCTGCCTTATTGCTTTGCATCTGTTTTTAGCATTGATTTTGTTTACCATTTTTAGTGTGGTATTCTATTCTTTTAAAATATTTTTATATTTACTGTTTTTAACTTTTAACTATTGTCTTTTAATGATGTGAGCTGCTTTCAGCCCTTTTTAAGGAGAAAGACGGGATAAAATATTTTAAATAAATAAATATCTTCTAAATACTGAATTAAACAATATTTGTTCTTTTGTTTTTCACTAAAGAACTGAACGTATCAAGAATAGATTTCTGGTGGAATGCAAGTATTTTTTAATCCTCGATCTGGCTGTAATTTTCATTGTCCTATACTGAAGTAATGATCTATGTAATCTACGTTTTTTTTAAAAAATATAAACTTATATTACAAATGCCAGCTTGTAATTATTGCATCATTTAGTACGGTCTAAAGAAAGCATGCAAAGTATTTTTCCTGTGTATCATGCTCTATAATTCATTAATTAAATTGCTCAATATGAATGATAATCCCGCTAAGCAAACAGACACAGTGCCACCCTTCTTCAGCTAAAACAGTTGGCACAGTGTCTTACAGGGTATTAAATAAACTGTATCAAAATGTGATTGAAGGCATTTTCCTCCTGTGATAGGTCAAATCCTCTGAAAGGCCCTTTGTGTTACTTTGGAAGGAATATTCACCTACATTAAAGTAATTTCCATTGCTGTTTATGGCACCATGTTTATGGGATAATAGACCACTGTTTTCCTGTTGTTATTTTGTTAAAAAAATCGGCTACAATCAAACCTGCATTCCTGTATTAGACAGTTTATTCTGAAGCTAGTTCGGGATATAGGGTACCATTATTTTGTTAGTAGACAGTAATAGACATATAGTAATAGACATAGAAAAGCAGTGATTCATTCAAAATTGGTACACCGTTCACTTCATGGGAGTACTGTATAGGAATCTATAGAGAAACAGAAGATACATATGGTGTGGTTATTTTTTAAAAAATTCTGTCCTTCCCGATTGCTCAGGAAACAAACAGAAAACAACAACTGTGTAATGAGAATTATGTAGGTTACAGTAATATTAAGGTGGCTATGCTAAAATATGTGGCTTCACTTTTTTTGTTATTATATAGATACAGATATATAGATCTATCCAATAAGCAATTGTATGCTAAAATATGTGGCTTCACTTTTTTTGCTGTTATATAGATACAGATATATAGATCTATTCAATAAGCAAATGTTTATCTTGTTTTTCAGAGGGCAGAAAGGCAAGCACGAATGATGGACTCAACACAATATGCAGAATTCTGTGAAAGTCGTCAACTAAGCTTTGGTAATTGTTATGTCATGATAATTACACAATATCTGTTTATAATTTTAGATATCCCATTCACCTGAAAGTATAACATCTTGTGATTGCAAAGAGATCAGGCATGGAGCATCCCATACACACCCTGGTCTCCACATCTGCTAGACAAGAGAGGAAAATATCCTGTACCTTTCCCTCATGTCATGGCAGTGTCATAGAAAGAATGAAGAAAGTTCACTGGAAAGCAACTTTTCCTGTGCCTGCAGGATGGTCTCTTTGATGGCTGGGGCGAAATAGGCCAGAGTTGAGCTATAGGCAATCATTGAGTGGGATCCAAGGGTTGAGGGCTAAGAGCAAGGACTCACAGGTTGGATCAGGGGCCAGACCAGGTTTGGATCTTTTGCAGCCCAGGAAAACTTTGGCCTCCACTTCTTTAAAGATTATAGAACTACTGGTAGAGTCATACTGGAGTTCAGGAGCCCTTTGTTGTCCTGTGAATGTTCCAGATTGTAGTCTCCCTAGCTATTGGGCAATATCTTTTCACATTTCTACTTTCATGATTTTATCTCAGGAGTATTCTTTCTCCTCCTTTTACTACTACGACAAAACTGTCTCTCCTTTTCAACTAAACCTAAGGAATCTGTGAAGATTCTCAGTCATCCAGGTGAGGTTATCTGGAAGTTGAGTCATGGCAACTGGACTTCTTTCTTATTAGGTTGAAATGTTTCACTACTCATCCAGGTAGCTAACCTAATAAGAAAGAAGTCCAGTTGCCAATGCTCAACTTCCAGATAAACCTAAGGAAGCTCTTTCAGTTATCAATGGCAATAATGTATTGGATATGGAAAAATAAATTGAACCTAATAAGAAAGAAGTCCAGTTGCCAATGCTCAACTTCCAGATAAACCTAAGGAAGCTCTTTCAGTTATCAATGGCAATAATGTATTGGATATGGAAAAATAAATTGAAGCTTAAATCAAACTAGGCAAAGACATTTCTGCTCAGTGAAAAGGAGATCATCTTCATAGGCATCCTGCAGTCTCGAGAAACTATGGTAACATGCTCTGTATAGAGGACTTCGACGCTGGAGTGTCCTCTCCAGAGCACGAAGCCTGGGTAAAATAATACGGAGGATAGGCTGTTAACCAAGCAGCAAATCACTCCTCTCCACATCACTAAGATAGTCCAGTGGAAAGGCAAGAACCAATGCAATTGGTTCCTGCGACGGCAAAGGAGTTGACAGAACGACACGAACTGCCTCCAGGACTCCGGCTCCGAATTTTGCCTCAGGGTTAACTCCTGAAGCCTTTTCCATCAGTGGATATAGCCACAAGGCAGTGGAGGTTTGAAATCGGAGTTTTCCTTCTCCTAAATGGGCTGCCTTCCCAGGCTGACGAGCCCCACCTACCCAGCCTGCTTCCTAATAGTGCGGAGATTAGAACACAGGCCTCCAGCTGCCAGACCTTGTCTTCCAAGAGGACCACCAACTAACACTTAGAGCATTTCTAGCCAGGGACCTCACTGGCAGGAAAACGAACATGCCCCAGGTGTTACAAGTGCAACAGATCCTGCACTCTCCATCTCGACTGATTGGACAGTGAATTTAAAAAAGAGAGGAAGTCTGGTCCAACCCCTAAAACTTTCCTGCCCCCCACCCCAGGTGTATGCAATATTATTTGGCATTCCTATTTACCAGATTAGAGTTAAAAAATAGAATCAGAGAATTTCACACGCTATTAGGTGTGCAGTTCTGCTCACACTCATTTCAAGCCCAAACCCCACCTACCCAGGGCTGCTCCCTTGCCACATGGGTGATGGCGGCACCTCCTCCTTCTCCTCACGGCATGGGGGCTCACATGTATAAAAGGAGATCAGGGAATAGGAATAGATCGTGTTCTGGATGGGGGTTAAAGTCCTCCAAAGGTTCATAATTGGGATGTGTTCCTCAATTTACCCCTGATCCTGGATGCCCAGACGCATCAAAAATGTTATGAATGCATTTGCACAACCGAGCTTTATGTGCCCAACTACCCTTTTCTTGAGATATTTGATGTAGCTACAATATCTCAGTTATATTCCTTTTCCAAATACTGTGACTTGTTCTGTGTTGGGCTGCCTTTGCAAAGAGTTCAGAAAATTCTACTGCGCCAAACTTTTGTACACAATTGTCTGGCTCCATTTATAGAGGGAGCATGTGACTCCTTTGGTATGACAGCTTTACTCACAACCAGTCTATTTTCAAACATAATTCAAGTGCTAGTGATGGCCTTTAAATCCTCATAGGACTTGAATCCAGCGTCTCTGAAAGACTGTATTCTCCTATGCAGGCCTGCCCAGATTTCAGTGCCTGTGTCAGAAGCTATTGTTACCTTCACCCTTTGTCTTAGAGGAGGACATGAAAGACAACTTCCTAGATGACCATTTGCAGTCTAGGGATCTAGGTCTTGAGGAACTCTAGGATGCTTCCCTCTCCATGGTCCTTCTGCCATCAGGCAAAGTCTGTTTTATTTCGACAGTCAGGCTCTATAACTGCAAAAGAGGCTTTTCATCTGTGGGTATTTTTTCTTCTCTCTCCCCCCCTTAATGTTTGGTGTTTTGTTAGCTTTTAAAAGCTTTTCCTCCCTTAATCTGTTTTGTTCTAGTTTTTTAAATATTTGTTTTATTGCAAGCTACCCAGCATCTCCATTATTGAGAAACATATGGTGTACAAATTGAATGAGTGAGTGTGAGTGAGTGAGTGAGTGAGTGAGTGAGTGAAAGAAAGAAAGAAAGAAAGAAAGAAAGAAAGAAAGAAAGAAAGAAAGAATGAATGAATGAATGAATGAATGAATCCATTCCAAGCTTATCCCACAGTCCTCTGGAAGCTAGGCATGTTGAAGTAGGCATGGTAGGCAGGGGCAAGGGTGTATACTACCAGTTCCCAGGCAGGCATTATTTCCATGGCTTTCTCAGTCATTGTACTTTTTGCATGGATTCTTTTGAAATCATGGTGCACATGATATTTCTCATGGTTCTGGTTCAATCTCCATTACCTGTATAATCTGACAAAACCTGACCTTGGTGCCAGGTTTCATCTAGGAGACACAGAAAACAGGATATACCTTAAGGCATAAGAAAGGTCTAGCCTGATTTGCTGGATGGTTATGAAGGTCCCTTATAGCAGTGGTTGAGTTTGGCCATACTATGGAGGAGAGAGCTGTTGCAGAGGCACCTGTACACTTCTTGGTACTGCCTACAGTAATTTTCCTATAAATGTACCTTATCTTAGCAGTAAGAAGCTTTGCTAGGTGGAGCCTGGGAACCTTTTATTATTCAGATAATGATGTTATGTGGTTTTCAGTTATATTAAGTAGAAAGATGTGTGGTGAACTTGCAGGAAGAGTGCAGTCCCAATTCCATGCTTCACTTCTGCATAATTAAAACAATATCTGGATAGCTCCCTTGCTAGTGGTATTACCAAAAGCAACAAAGAAATAACTTCTTATTTTGTATTTTTTTTAAATATTCAGATTTTTTTTTAATAGATAATTTTCCGCCTGCAGATTAAGGGAGTAGCTGTGGGGTGTACCACTCCTCCCAGCATTGCCATGTCAGATTTGGAACAGAATTCAATTAATACCTTAGTTTTAATTCTTTTTTGGTGGTTTGGCAGTCTTCGGGCATAACATTGATGATATCTTCATTTTGCTCAGGGTTAGGTCTAAGGTAAATTATTTTTGTGAATGGCTTAACACAATTGATAAGAATATTAAGTTTACCTGGAAATGGGATAGTAATTGCATCTCATATTTGGCAGATATTTGCTCCTCAAATTAATAGATTATTTGTATGTCAATTTAAAAAGGAGACAGATTGTAATACTTTCCTGCATGACAAATCATTTCATTCCTGGCACGTGAGAAGGAATTTGCCTTTTGGACAAATCCTTAGAATTAAAAGAAATTCTACAGAGGTGAAAGTATTTTTTCCGAAGAAAAGTATAAGATGGTAGCAGACTTCAAGAGTAGATGCTATCTTTAAAAAAAAATAGTGGAAAGTGTCAGAAATAGAGCAATGGCAGTGGATAGGAAAATGCTATTGAGAGGTAAAGAAGAGATCACCCAAAATAGATTGGTCTATACTTTCAACTTTACTTCCCTGGTTAGTCAACTAAGGCAGGGGTGGTCAACAGCCGGTCCATGGGCTTGCCGGAACTCAGCCACGGATACAGATCTCCGCCCCCCACACGCTCGCGCAGTAGGGATGTCGCGCCCACAGTGGGCATGTCATGCTTGCGCAGGGAGTGTTGCATCCGTGGTGGGCATGTCACGTTCACGTATGTGTCGCGGTGGGCGTGTCGCACTCACATGTATGTGCTCAAGTGTGACACGCAGTCGCGCAGGAGTGCCCCCTGCACATGGAACTCGCTCCCCCCCCAACCGGTCTGCAGCCCCGAAAAGGTTGGGGGCCACTGAACTAAGGAGAATTGTTCTTAGAAATTGGCACCTCTTAAGGAATATTCCATATTGCAAGGAAATGCTTACATGTAGGTGCAGTGATTTGCACTTAACCCTTTTAAATTTCATTCTTCCCACTGCTCCAGCCTATCTAGACCATTCTGAATTTTATTTCTGTCTTCCAGGGTATTAGCTATTCCACCCAATTTTGTGTCATCTGCAGGTGTGATTCCTTGTATCCCCTGATCCAGGTCATTAATAAAAATATTGAGTAGCATTGGGCCCATGACTGAGCCCTGGAGTACCTAACTTGTTACCTCTTCCCAGTTTGAGAAGGAGCTATTAATCATCATCCTCTGATCACAGTTCTGTAGGCAGCCTGTGTATCCACCTGACAGTTGCTCTATCCAGCCCATGCTTAGTTGACTTGCTAATCATGAGGCACTTTGTCAAAAGCTTTGCTGAAGTCAAGTTACACTACGTCTATAGCATTCATGAATTGAGCCAATAAAAAATGAGATCAGATTAGTGTGGCAGGACTTGTTCTTGACAAATCAGTGTTGACTTCTAGTTATTACTGCATTGTTT